GAAAAGTTCCATCTTTATTGTCATATTGGGTGAAAATCTAGACCAGGGATACTCAAATTTTTAAACAGTTGGAGTCCCTCAGACTGTTGGGGGGCCAGACTATATTTTGAGAAAAACCATGGACAAATTACTATGCACACTGCAGATATATTCATGCAAAAAGACATGAAAGAACAATACAGCATTTAAAATGATGAACAATTTTAACCAACATAAACTGACTAGTACTTCAATGGGAATGGTGGGCCTGCTTTTGGCAGATCAGATAGTCAAGTTAATTCAGATTATTATTCTTATTGTGTGACTTGAAGTTGTTTCAGACTTAGGGTGACCCTAAGTCTAAAGTTTAGACCAGAGGCTGAGTAAATTACCTTGGAGGGCCGCATCTGGCCTGTGGGCCTTCATTTGAGAACCCCTGTTCTAGACTGTGCTGAAAACTAATTTTAAAAACATTTTTCTTGTTGTGAACGTTCTATTGAAGGGTTAGTTCCAGTATTTTAAATGGTCCATGAAGACTTAGGTGTTCCTCTGCCATCTCATCCTGTGGGTAGACTTGGGCTTCTTACAGGAAAGGTGAAGAGGAGGCAGCCGTAATCTAAATCAAAGCAGCACCATCTCACCTATCAGTTGATGTGAGAGCCCTGGAGTATCAATTCCATAAAGGACTTTAAAGTGCCTCACAAACCTGAACTCCCCACCCCCTGACACACACACATACGCTTTGAGCAGAAATAACTAACTTTATTTGATAGACATGGAAACTATCCCTTGAAGATAAAACTTTCCTTTTTCTCTTCCCCCTCCTCTTCCTTCTTCCTCTTTTTGATTAGTTTTGGTTTCTACCTTAACATTTGTCTTAGAATTCAACAATTTAGTGACCTTTCTAGAGAACCACAAGCATGCAATTCTAGATTTAGACCCCTTCCACACTACCCCTATATCCCAGGATCAGATCCCAGATTATCTTTTTATCTGGCAGTGGATACTCATATAATTCAGTTCAAAGCAGATAATCTGGGATATAGGGACAGAGTGAAAGGGGCCTCATTTAGTGACAAATAAGCTGTCTGAGTAGTTTTGGAAGAGTTCTACTGGGAGAAATTCAGGTGGACTTATTCTGGAGTCCTGCTTTTGAAGCCCACTTTCTAGCCAAACTTTGTCCCGAAACTGCGCATACTGTTCTCTTGAGTATCTTGGCAAATATGAGAATGTCTGAGCCAGCTATACCATTCAGAAAACAGCCTGGCAGAATAGAATCCAAATCACTGTGGTAAATCCTCTCTGTAGTACACTTAGGTAACAGTATTCCCCATACATTTATGTTCACAAAGAGTTTATACCCTGAAGACAGAGATGTAGACTACAGACACATGTCTGATAATGCATGGTAACAGCAGTGACCTACGGTTGCCTTTGCATCACACACACTTCCTCCAAGTTGCTCAGAGCAATGTTCTGGCCTGTGAGGTAATTGTAGCTGAGAGTGACTTCCCAAGTCTGTCTGGTACATTGAGGAGATGAGTAAAGAACTGATGTTGTGTCTTCCATATCTAATCACAACATTCTAGGCAGTGAACACTAGGATCCTTTCTCAGTGGGTAAACTATCCTTTTAGGGGAGCCTCCATCTTTCAGTGGAAGCTAGCTGGAGATATATAGATCAGATAAATTAGCCTAGGGACTCATTCTCTTCCCTTTTGTAATCTTTCTTAGTATAGCACTTTTAGTGACTCTGAACCATGATGTCATGGATTATAGCAAAGCCAGTTTTTCAGCTCTTGTAAGGAAGGTACAAGAAATGAAGGTGTCAGTCACCATGTTGCATTTCATATTCAGAGTTTTGAAGCACCAATTAATCCAATTGTCAATACCCCTTCACCTTACTTTCTCAAAGGGAAGACAAGGTAAGGGTGTATTGGGAACTGGGAAAAAATGTTAGGTAATTAGAATTATTTTTTCATTCATAGTGATGCTCAGTGTTATACTTTTGGTACATCTTTAAAATATTTGAGACTTATCTCAAGCCAGAGTTTTAAAGAAAGCAGAATTTTCATCAGGTGCAATTTTTATTAGTAAAATGTAGCATCTAGAAGAAAATATTTCTTTGTTGTTCCTCCCATAGGATGAATCCTCAGTCTTTAAGATTCCATCAAAACTCAGTCTAGGTATTTTGAACAATGAACATGGCAACAATATTTGGGGAAATTCCCCTTACAGTAAATAAATATCCTACAAAAGTAGAAATCTTTCCAAATGTTCCTTGGATTTTTAGAATCCATGCAACATAATAATAATAATAATAATAATAATAATAATAATAATAATAATAATAACAACAACAACAATCCTGCCACCATCTCCCCAAAGGGACTCAGGGTGGCTTACAGATGGCACAAAGTACCTATAAACAGACATAAAAGTAAACACAATATAAAATACAATAAAATAAAACACACGCACATATAAAAACATCAACTCAGGCTCAATTAAGCTGCTGTTCTCTAAGTGTGGTGGTAAATTACTGGAGCCATGGCTGGGATGTAAACATTGGAATAAAATAAGTGCCAGATGCAGTAATGGAGTGAGGGCATGGGATAAAGTGCAGGATGTGTGACTACTATGTTGGACAACTAGGGGCTAAATATTCTCAAAGGCTTGATTGATGAGCCACATCTTCAAGTCCCTACAAAAAGAGGACAGTGTAGGGGCCTGTCTAACCTCCCTGGGGAGGGAGTTTCAAAACCACGGGGTCACCACCAAGAAAGTCCTCTCCCTTGTCTCCACCAACCATGCTTGTGAAGGTGGCAGGACCAAAAGGAGGGCCTCCCTCACATCTTAGAACCTGCGTCAGTTCATAGGGAGGAGTGTAGTCATGAAGATAGGCAGGAAGGAACCAAGCTGTTTATGTCTTTAAAGATGATAACTAGCTCTTTGAATTGGAACTGGAAATAACATCTGAATCTTTACTAAATCCCTTTTTGATTCAGGAGAAGAACAATGACTAAATATGGGTTTGTTTAGAAGTAAACTGCATTATATGGAAAATTAAGCTTCCTAAAGTCAGATTTCAATTTAAAGAGTTTTCTCCTTTCCTCTTCTATTATGAACAACTGACACAAAACTGAGGACCAATGAATAGACAGAGAGAAGGAGGTGATGATACACACTGGAAAGCCCCTTCAAGTGTTATCTCAGTGTTCAATCCACGGAATATTTTGTAATTATAGCAACTTAAATCAACTGTAAGGACATTTGCATCAACTTAATTTCAGCCTGAAATGGTTACAGTACAATTAAAAGCACCATGCTCCTGTTTTAATTAAACAATGCTGTGAAATATTCTGCATTTTGAACCTGTTTTGGCCTGCCTCTTATCACTGAATTATTGCACTTAATTTGTTTTCCCACTGAAAGATGGAATTCACTTAAGGATTACTGGATGGTGCTCTGGCATTTTTGTGGTCTCTTGACGGCTCCTGTGAATCTAGATCATAGCTGTCTTCAGTGACTCTGACATGTCTTATATGCACCATCTCTTGTCTAGTCTGTCTCAGCAGATTTATGAAGTCACATTTGACCTATGAAGAGAGAAGTGGACATTTTTGATTAACTTAATGATAGAGATTTTAGATGACAGCAGATTCTCCTTGGTACTTACTCCAGGTTATTCTGCACATATTAGATATAAGCTATTCTAACAGATATACATTCTGAACTCACTAATCCCATATAGACATGTTTTTTTTGTTTTTGTTTTTTTGGATTAATTTATTACACTTGCATTTTTTTCATTTGACAAAAGCAGAAAATAACAAAATAGAAATATAAATTAAAGCAGTTACAACATATGTAGAAATTTAGTGTGTAAATAAATGGAAACACATCAGTAAAAATGATAAGAAAGAAACTACAGTCTTCTTCCACAACCTTCAAGTTGTCAATTGACTGCTAGCAACTGCATAAATGTGACAGGCTTTTTAGGCAAGAAGAACTCAGAAGTAGTTTTAGCAGTTCCCTTCTCTGAAATGTAGCCTACAGTAGTCATTGGTGGTCTCCCATACAACCAGAGCTGACTGTGCTTAGCAACCAAGATCAGATGAGATCTGATGGCTTAAGGATATTTAGTAGGGCTGGGCGGTTTCGTTTCGTAATTTCGTAATTCGTTAAAAATTCATTATTTTTTTTGATAACGAAGCGATATTGAACCATTCAGGAGCAACTAAAAAACGAAATGAATTTTTCCAATTCGTTTCGTAATTGTTTCGTTATTGATTCGTTATTGATTCGTTATTGATTCGTTATTATTTCCGCATGTCTGGTGCAAGTTTTAGGGTTGCTGTTTGTTTTCTCAGTGAAAAAAAATATAATTATCACACCAACAGTCAACAACAGAGGGAGAGGGAAGCTTCTGAAGTTTTTTTAGCGTATTGCGCGATCGCGGCCGCCATTAACGAATCGATTCGTAATCGATTCGTAATTGTTTCGTAATTGTTTTATGATTTCTGAAATTTCGTAAATATCGAACTTTTTTTAAGGAAAATTTCGGAATTCTTTTAAATAACGAAACGCAAAAAACCCCTAAAAACGAATCGAGTTTAGAAACAAATTTTTCCGTGTTTGGACAGCCCTAATATTTTGGCCCCTTTTCCACAATAACCAATTTTAAAGATCAAATACCTGCCCAGAGAAAATGACTTTAGAGGTGGAGTCAAGGAATTTCTGGGGTTCTTGAGTCCAAATCTGGAGAAAAGCTTAGACACTACTAATGATGATGATGGTGTTTGTGGCAAGAATTATTCAGAGATTTGCCATTGCCTTCCTCTGATGCTGAGAGAATATGACTTGCCCACAGTAACCCAGTGCGTCTCCATGGCTGAGTGGGAATTTGATCCATAGTCTCCAGAGGCATAGTTCAATGCTCAAATCACTATACTATGCCGAGTCTCTTAATTAAGCTCTTGTTTACAAAGCTGAATAGCCAAATGTTTTGTACCTCTTTAGGTGGTGGTCTATGACTATATGTGGAAAAACCACACCAAGAAGCCTGGAATGTCCAGCAGCAACATCAGTAATCAAGATGAAATAATGAAATCTTCAGGAGATTCTGGAGGCATCACCGTTCATGTCATGATATACACAGTTCATCTTGGAGGCTACCAAGAACTGTACAGACATTTTCTGAGAATGCCCACAGGTGCTATTGTTGAAGTAAGTTTTCAAATGTATCTTTTCAAATGTGGTAGAAATATACAGTAGGCCCTACAATTTTGTTGAAATTAGCAGCACAGCACCCTCATGAAAGTGCAAATATTGCAAATAAAAATGTGTTTCTTACCTGAAGGAATACCTCTTTAGGAATCTCTAAGTCTTACAAGTTGACTCCCTTCCTGGAAGATGACCATAGAATCATCTTGGAGGACCTAGATTCTGAGGCAAGTCGACCATGCACTCACCCTGGAGGAGCTAGAGAGTCCCAGAGAGACCATATTAATCAAATTTGTGAATAATCAAATCTGAAAAGTTAAATCTGCTAACGTGGTAGTCTGATTCCAGTGGGTAAATGTTACTGATGCAAGTGAACAATGAGTTCAGAATCATGCCATTCTGAATATTCCACAGGAGCCAATATTCACTAATATACAGAAAGAATGGTCAAGCTAAAACATTGAGCTGCACAAGCATTTACTGGTATTTTGTTTTCTCATTTTCTTGTAGTGTGATGCTCACAACAACAGAGGCAGAACATGGAAATAACTAGCTACAAATAAAGAATTTCACATAATGAATTCCTTATAAAATATCCAAGGCTTAATTACATAACATTGCAATTATAGCATAAAAAGTACTTTTTTAAGTTGTAATAAATACTTTTTTGAGTTGTTTAGTCAGTTTTATAATTACATGAGGTGTATAGTCTTACTATGGAAGTTTTTTTTAATACTCTTGTCAGTGCCTGTGGTTGTTTCCATGACAGTGGGACCATAAATCCACTTCAGGTTTTAGTCCAATTTTTAAAGAAGTGTCCAAGGTGCTAATCCCATACCATTCAACACCTCGATAATTTTAAAATGTGGATTTAAACCCGAAATAGATGTACCGTCCAATTGACATAGAAACTACTGACTATAGAATGGGAGCTTTTGGCATTTCAGTATTTGCTTTTATCAGTGTGGAAGTAAAGGTTACATTTTAAGAATTATAACTGGAATACTGATGAATTTTTGAGTAACCTTAACTGTAATAAGCCATTTTAAAATAAAATTGAGAGGAGGGAGAAAGATACATAAAGTAAACAAATACTCAAAGTATGTATGTTGATGTTAAATACCTTACCAAGCAGCTATTTGATTTTTAACATGTATATAAACGTTTTCTTCATTTTAGTTTCATTTAAAGTCTGGGGACAATGAAGGAATAACAGGTACCTACTGAAAGCTATACTTTTAAAAGAAGAGAGTGGCAAACCTCCGCATACCCCCTACATAAGAAAATCCTTTGAAATTCAATGTGTAACCATAACTTGATAGGAAAGGAGCATACACTATACTGAAGGAGCATACACTATATTACATCAAACCTGCTGTAACCACTGAGAAAGAGATAACAATGAAATGCATTAGAAATAAATGGAGCAGAGCTGTCATGAGTAACCCAGGTCCCATTGTTTTCAGTAGATCGGAAGTACCACCAACTTTTTATTGCTGTTTTCTTATAGCTCCCCTTTCCCCACTCCGTCCATCAAAGGTGGGTTGTACTAAGGAAAAAAATGAATTTTCAGTAAGTTAAAAACATGATACTGTAGAATTGAAGAGAGATATAGTATGGCAGAAGAAGCAATTGTGTCAGGTATTTTGGTCATCAGTCATGGGAGTATGAATATTTTAGATTTAAGAATGTTGGCTATTTATGTCGTGTACGGCATGTTAAACTCATTTGAAGTAGAACTCTCTTTTTAGCAAAAAGAGCATGTGTCAGCATCTTCTAGGCTATTTATTTTAAATGCATGGTTAACATTGCATTTGGCACAATCTGAGGAGGCAAAGGGTATTGCTGAAAGCCAGTTTTTGTAGCTGGAGAAAAGTTAATAGTTGAGTTCTTCAAGGGTCCATTCCCTCCAATTTGTCATTTCAACTTTCTATCATTTTTTAAATTTTGTTTTTACGCCACACAAAAATGATGCAACCCCCCTTCCCCCGCACACACACACACAAACAACAATAACCTTTCATTCATGAACTGCTCAAACAGGCATGTGATGTTACAGATGAAGAAATAAGGATCATTTAAAATACTGGCCTGAATGTTATTGTTAGTCCTGAGAATGACTGAATGGGATTTACCTGTGTGCAGGCTCACCATTCAGCAATTGAATGAATGAGTTTACTTTATTTGGGTCTAACCAACAGGATGCAAACTCTATCTATAGAACCCATTTTTTTCCAAGAAAGACTGTTAAAATTAATATAAAAGGGTGTGTGGTTTCCAGCATCAAAGATGAAATGGTTAGAATTGGTTTGCGTATGTAGCCGAATAGTAAGGAAAATTATGTACAAAAAGAATATTCAGTAATTTCTGTTATTAGTGAAAAGATCATATGTACAGACTCAGATCATCAACTCATACATTCTTCAATAACAGTTAACTTCAGCAGATAAATTGGTATCCTTAGAAGAAAGAAACTGCCTAAAAAGAAAATTAATTCAGCCACGCTATCGGCCCCTGGAAGAAACCAATCTCTCAATCTGAAGTGCCAATGTCAACAAAGATTATGAAATATTTGTGGGAAAAGTTAAATAACTATTGCTTTTTCAAGTGAACCCATCCCTCCAATGAAGATTCGAAGAATCTGACAAGACACAAAACAGGCAGTCAGAGCTCAGCAAATAGCAGGTGGAAAAGCAAAAGGGGGAGGAGTACAAAAACCTTCAATAAAATTAGAAAGTGCCTGCAAGTGGACTGTGATGAATATTGGATTACACAATTAAGAGAGACTGCAGAGAAAAATAAGTCTTTAAAAAGATTGGAAATTCCAAGTAGATTGGAAATTAAACAGATATGCGAAGACTTCTATAACAACTAATACAATTCCAAAGTGCAGGTAGTAGAAGTTAAACCACATGTTGAGAAGAAAAACAATCTGATAGTATTGAGTGAGGTAGATACGTCCATACATAAAAAGAAGCCTGAGTCAAATAGACATAATATCACCAAAACTGTTTGTGGTGACTTTGGAAAGCCTTTGGAAAGGCAGGATTTCAATTTGCGGTGAACAATTTTCTCATTTCCTCTTCACAGTCAATTGTGTCTTCTTCTTTTTTTGCCAAAAATCCAGAGGATTTACAACATGGTCTCCCAATAACTAGCCTGACTCTCAAAATCAGTAGGACTGGAAATGAACTTGAAGAAAACAAAATGGATAAAAAATGAGCCACATCATTATAAATGGAGATTAAATTGAGGAAGTGACTAAATATGTATATTTTGGTCAACAAGTACAGTCAAATAATTTGACAAATGGCGAATGGAAAAAAAGATGCAAGGCGTCTTGGATGGCTTTTAATCGAAACTGGACAGTGTTAACAGATTATAAGCTGCCAATGAAGGTCAGAGCAGATATCCTCAACACTGCAGTCTTACCGGCAATGTTATACCCTTCTGAAACCTGGGCAACAACAAAGTTAGAGGAGGGAAAACTGGTGGTGACTCAGAGAGCAATGGAAAGAAGGATGTGTGGTATGACAACAAGAGATAAGGCCAGCAACAAAGAGCTGCATCTAAGAACTGGGGCGCATGACGTGGTGAATGAAATCTATGAGGCAAAAAGAAGATGAGCAGGGCATGCAATACAAATAAAAAACAACCAATGGACATGCCGACTCATGAACTCGATTCCAGGAGACCTTGACAGACCTTGTATTGGATGGCATGAACCAATGGTTCGGTTATTCATATTTTTAGCATTCCCAGAGTAATGGTTGAGACTGGCTGCAGAACATAGTTATCGATCACACACATGGACTGAATTGGACATGATTTTATCTTGGCAGTTTGGCTTATTGGTAAATCTAATCTATATGTATTTTTAAGTTGTTGTTATTGTATAATGTTTTTATATTGTATTGTTATTATTGAATTCTGTTGTGAGCCGGTCTGAGTCCCTCTACGGAGGTTAGAGAAGATCGGCATATAAAAGTTTTAAATAAATAAATAAATATTCAGCCACAAATGGAAAACTAAAGCACAGTATCATAGATTTTAGCAAATGGTAGATTTGCGTGAAGCTCAACGGAGTAGATTGACTACAAATCGGGTAGGATAGTAAAAAGAATCAGCATGGACTATTGACTCTATGTAAACATAACAGAGTTGTGCTTTAATGATGTTTGTTCAACTTGAAACTGTGTTTATATTTAATGTCAGTCTGTTGGTAAGTCAACAGAACACACTGGAACTCAATAGGATATTCCTTTGTTTCTTTATAGGAAAAAAGAGTTTATGAGATGTTTTGAGATCTGTGTTTGACATATGCACAACAGGAGAGAGACTTCAAATGTATTCTCATTTCTGTTAAAATTATCAACCACCTGTTGGAATAAACAAAAAGTTCACAAAATGTGCATGTTATTTGAGAAAAAGGTTGAACGAAGAGAGACAGAGAAGTGTTCCCACTCAGTGATATTCTGAGAAACTACCAGGCATCGAGTTCTTCACAGAATCATATTTCACTTTTTTTAATTTTATTTTTTGGTAAAATAAATCTTCCTCCCATCCTGTGTTTTTTTTTTTAAAAAATTGTATAACAATGAATGGGGAACATAAGAGTTCTCCACAGAAGCCATTTTTACAAAGTACATCTTCATCCCACACTCTTCCTTCCTTCCTTCCTTCCTTCCTTCCTTCCTTCCTTCCTTCCTTCCTTCCTTCCTTTCATCCTCCTGCTCCTAACTGTTTTGTGTGATGATAAATGGAACATTTTGATGTCTTACGATCTCAAATGCATTTGGAACCCATGCTGGCATAGGCTGTTACTATCACAAGCTTGATAATACTAGTGTGGTGATTTTTATCTTGCTTTCTGCTGACTTGCTTTCTTATTAAGAGGACAAAGATAAGTGGTTTTAACTCAACGAGAAATCAGTTTCATATTAAAGAGCAACTAAAGCCTTAAATTGCTCAGAAACAGCCCCCTCCCCTCCCCTCCCCTTGAC